TGAACTTTTCTTCTCCTCTCTTCTCTTCTTACTTCTCAGTCTCTTCTGAACCAGAACCAATTTGAAACAGCAGGTTATTTTTCTATATCTGAAGTGTTGAATGCATGAAAAATAGTCAGGTTATGTAGACAATAATCGTGTTTATTAAGTTTGCTATTATTAATGCAAATTTAATAAACACGATTTATTAGACTGCATTACTGATTATTTTTCATCTTAACAATCTGAAGCATTGGGTGCTCTGGATGCTCTATCATTTTGACGGACTCCTCCAACAAAAAAAAAAAAATAAGTAAAACTGAAAAATAAATCTTATAGATATAAAAATGTTTTTTTTTTTTTTTTAATTCTATTTATTTATTGAGTATTACAACGGTCTGTCACATGGACATTAGTTATAGTGAGGTATGATAACATTCACACTATATGTACAAAAAATATAAAATAAATAGAAGCAAAATAACAATAAATAATAATCAAATGTATATACAATAAATAAAATAAAATCTAAAAAAAAAGATAATTAAAACTAAGCAAAAAACACACGCATACCTATATACAATCAGGCAAGGGAACTCCAGGAGAACTCTGCGCTACTCTCTCAACCGCATCACTGGTACTGGTACCAGCGGAGATTGATCGAGAGCACTTTAGCCACATACACACATGTCTTGAGTGGAGAATCTGACCCTTGCCAGAACTTCAATATGTAAAATCTACAAAAGGCCGCGAGGCCACTGCCGTTTCAACCTTCTTGGAGGATTATAGAGATGGATGGTGCTTGATAGGGATTGTGCAAGAGGGTTTGGATGATACGTAAGGTTCTGGTGAAATTTGAAAAATTTGGCTGGGATAAGATCAAGAATAAATGGGATATTAAGGTCATTATGCAGGGTTTTATTGGTTACGTAGAAGGGAGCATCGACTGTTGTACGGAGGACTTTAGACTGAAAGGATTGAATGCGTTTGATGATAGAAAATTTTGCTTTCCCCCAGTTCTAGTCCTAAGTCCAAATAGGTTTCAGTGAATGTCCTTGTAGATCATAACTTGTTTTCGAATGGAAAGTTTAGATCTTTCGTTAGTATTCGTATAGTTGGCCGATCGTCGTTTAGCTCCTGTCTTTTTAACTATATAGGTTCCAGGCTAGTCATCAGTCTAAGAGAATGCAAGTACCGACATTATTGATAAGAGAAGCTGATGGGTTATAAAAACTAGAGGACAGATTTACGACATAAAAAGGGATGAAGGTTATGTAATGTTCATTCGTTTATCTAATGCGCATTTCTTACGACCAGGTGTTCAATCAGGGAAGGTGCAGTGATTTAATGACGCTGTTTGAGTATCTGAGTTGGTTGGAAGGATATTGAGTATCATCAGCGAATGTGCCAGGAGGATCATTGAGAAAATATCTGCGTGAAAAGAATGTAAATATTGACCAAGACGTGCTGGACTTTGCTGATACCCGGGAACTCAAATCAGTACCACAGCGAGAGACTTGATAGACCGATCAGAGTTAGGATCGATGTATTAATATAAAGGGAATCGTGCTAGATTAGAAATTTAACGCAAAACGAGTCCAGCTCGTGGCCTATATCCCGTCGAAAGCCGTGCTATGTCCAGAAATGCACCCGAAAAACGTATTTTCCCTTTCTAGGCTGACGATAATTGTCGACAACAACGGATCCGTTGTACTTGAATTTTGAACGACCACCCGCATTGATTGTAGAATTTTATGGATTCTATTATGGGTATTCTTCCAGTAGGATCGTGTCAAAAATTTTTAATTTGGATAGACTAATTGTCATAATGATAATGCAGTTTGCCTGTTCAGGAAAAGGACATGTGAAAGTGTAATTCCTAAAGATTCAATTATAAATAAATTATGTAAGGAATATGATATCTTTTGTGAAGTGTGTCGGGGAAATGTGATTAGAGGTCCGTATCCAGAATCCACGGAAGAAGTTTATGTAGTCAGGATGTTTGACCCTCAGATCTTGATTAACTGCTTTGAGGATAGGAATCGGTGAAGAAGAACTCTTCTACTTTTACGTATGCGGTGATGGATTATGAGGAGGAATGTACTGGGAGAGTGTCTGGCAAATTCCGCGCTTTGTCTTCATCGACGCTGCCCTGTAGTCATCGCAGCGACGAAGGGTAAGAAATGTAAGGAATTTAGGATTTTTTTGTGTTTTTCCAAGAATTCATGAACATAGAGAGAATTAGTAGTATCAAAGATGGGAACTAATGGATATAATTCTTGCTTTAGTAAATTTACACCAATAATGTTAGGTAAGCGGCAATCGAGGGTGTTAGTACGTGCCCATAATGACTGGCATTCGTTTGTGTTGATTAGTCTATGAGGTGTTGGGTAAACTATTTTCTAGGGTTCTTGAGGATGATTTGATAGTAACCTGTCCATACTGCTTGTTGAATGAGTGTAAAGATGTACGCATTGTCAAGGACTCTGGTTTTTTCAAGTTAATCTGAGGCAATTTATGCGGAAAAGATTTCATAAAGAGTTTCCAGTTAACTGGCCCCTTGATGAAGGACGGTAACAGGGTTTAGGAACAGGAGCTAGAGCTAATTTGGCGTACTAATGGACTATGATCTAGGAAAGTTCGTCAATCCGAAGGGAATGAATGAGGGGGACTATAAACCATTTGTGGATAAAAAAATCGAGATTACAGGATTGCGTAGGATCAGGTGGCCATAGGTAGGTGAGTTGGGAGGAAGACTGATTGAAACTTTAGGTATGATTGCAGACACCAAGGATCTACCACGATAATTCGTGGTTCTTGAACCCCATTCTTGATGCTTGGCGTTTAAATCTGCACCCAGGATGAAGTTATGTCTTAAGGAGTTAAGGAAAGAGCTGAACTGGTCATTGGATATGGATCTGTTGGGAGGGCAATATGCTGATGCTAGGGTGACGGGAAAGGAGTAGGTTTTCATTACAATGGCGGTGGATTGCAGGAAATCATAAAAATGTTAAATTATGTAATACTAATTCTAACCGCAATAAAAAAAAATATATATTTTTTCGGTTGGCGCTATAAATCACAAAGATCTTTGGCCGCAAGATGTGGTCTCCTTACAGACGTATATTACTCCCGGGAGCACAGATAGCCTCAAAGGGTCACCCAATCTTACGTTGCTTCAAAAAATGGTCTCCATGGTGCATCGACATACCACTCGTAGCTCCATAGCCGATCCCTTTGGGCAATCTGGCAATGTCCTTCTCACCGACTCACTCGGGTTCAAGGACAGTGACAAATCGGTCTAGATTCATGGATTATAGCTGCTCAGAGACATCAGACGCACGAGAACCTATATTTCTTTCCCCGAAACAAATCGTCCTTGGACCGATCCTCAGGTGGGCTACTGACAAGCTGGTAAACCACATCTGATTCCCAATTTAAGTACACGGTATAGGGTCATCAGTCCTATGCCCGGTCGGTCTTAGTTGCCTCCAGTAGACTTATGAGCCTCACATACCCAAGGGAAATGAGTCTTGGGTAGCGTGGCTTTCCCTGGTGGGCTGTCACCCATCGAAGTATTAACTACGCTCGACGTTGCTTAACTTTGATGATTTATTAATTCATGAACCTATTGAAAGCGCCTTAGCCCGCACGGTTATTCCCATTAAAATAAAAAAAAAAATCTAGAGTACTATATTTGTGGTTAAGTTGAATAACTTGATTTGTGCAATGGAATAGAACATATGTATTTGCTGATCTCAAGAATTCTTAATGAAAAATATGATTTTGGCACAGATAGAAGGGTCAAATTTCATACGCGAAGGATCCTTGAGACAAATGGAAAATAGCTATGTTTCACCATATTTTTATTTCATCATGAAGTATGGAAGCAAAACCACAAAAAATGGCCCAATTACCACAGCAAGACATGATCGGGTCAATTGTGGATGCCCTTTAGACAGAATTAGGGCAAATGACACAGTTAGGAATTGTGTTCTAGCCTGTGGTGGATCAAGGAATGTTTTGAATGTTCTTTCGGGCTGAAGCCCTCTCCCCCAAAAAAATTAAATCCTGGATTTGCCTCAGCTATCTGGTGCAGTATACTTTATATACTTTTTGAAACTTTGTCACTCTGACTATTTCTTTCTTTTATATACCTATAACCTTTTCTCCTTCTCTTAGTTCCAAAAAGGTCTCGATATTCATCCGCCCCCTTGTAGCCCTATATTCGAAGTCTGGAGGCTCATCCCTGCCTCGAACCCATCCAGGAATCTAATAGTTTATCAATTTTAAGATGTAATTTTCAACATCTTTTTCATCAGGCTCTGTGTCTTGTATCGTCCTCATTTTGCCCGTCAACATCTTGAGAGATACTCGATTGTTCATAATTAAGAAAGAGCCTGGATTGCTTTACCCATCTATCAAGTACATTATGTGGCTATGAAGAGTCCCTTCTTCTGTTTTGCAAGATGTGATCCAAGGTTTGAAGGTAGCTCTCCCTTCATTTACACTTTTGTAGAATATCCTCAATTCATTTGGTTGCCGAAATACAAAAGAATCCATTCCATTTCCCTCTACTTTTTTCTTCTCCCACGATCTTATCTTACTTCAGTGGAGTCTCTTTTCCTCCCTTGTTCTCTGTTGATATTCTCGGACAGTTTGCCTTGTATATCGATGGACATCTTCCTGTATTCCTTGTTTTTATTATTCGTAACCTCAAGACACACCTAATCGTATCATTCAGTCCTGGGGAGTTTTCTAAAATATCCAATTACTTCTTGGGCTTGTTGGTATATTATTCTGTAGCTTTGTTTCAAAGCCCAAACTTTTCTTACATTAAACGCATTCTATGTTTTTAAATTAAAAAGATATAGTAAAAACACCTTTATGTTTCTTATGCTTTATTTTATAAAAGTTTTTAACCATTACTGTGACTTTGACATCACAGTTTAGTGATTCATCTATACATGCTTTACCTTATATAAACATCATGGGATAATATCTCTTTGGATAGTTGTCGAGTTCGCGCTTCAAAACTAAGAGGATACCGAGTGGTGTTAACAAGTTCCTTTTGATTTGTTTGATTATAGATTCAGAAATATGTCTTTTGAAATTGGAGACCTAGTATGGTAAATTTCATCTAACCATTCTATTAATATCAGTTTTTCTATTTGTTTTTATTGAAATAAGAAATCACTGTAATATTTCTTTATTTTAGGGCAAAAATGAAGGGATTTCCTCCTTGGCCTGGTCTTGTAAGTGTAAAATTATTTTGTAACTGATAAATCACTCAGCATTTACCATAATGAATGCTTTTATTATTCAATAACCAAATCAAATATGTTGATTTATTTTTGATTTGTTATACTTCATTTACAGAAATTAGATTTATGTTTATGAGGCCTTATTCTAATTTAAATTTGTTGAAGGGGGCTTGTAGTTTTTATACGATGTACTAATTCTTTACTGAAGGTATAAAATTTGTCCTCTCCCTCACTCTTCTTGGTTATAATGTTTTAAAATTTTCATACAGGGAAAAAACGAAGAGTAGACTGATTTACTTCAAATCATAACACATTTGTTATATAAGATTCGGAAAGTTGTTTTAACTGACTTAAAATGCTCATTGTTTGATTAATGATTATTATTTTTATTAGTTGAAAATAGACTTTCAGAATGCTTGAAATATAAAATTGTCTCTATCTTGTTGTTTTTTTGTTTGTGAGCTTTATTTTAAAATATGTTTGTGGTTTGATAGAGGATTCCTAAGAACTTTCTCTTAGTATTGGTCTTATTTCCATATTTTATTCGTGTTGAAACGTAGATCTCATAATTTATAGATGTGACAGTAAATTAAAACTATAACAATATTACTTTCTTATGACTACGAAGTTATTAACTATTAAAACATTTTAACGTCCCAAATAAATAATGAATAACCTGATATAAGTTTAAAAATAAGTAGTCATGGTTATGAAATTCCTCTTTCACTACAGTCTAACCGTCACTTACTTAGTTCTCACTTTTGATAGTAATATGATATAGAATCTATTTGTTTAGAAATTATCCTGAACACAGCATTGTGTCAGATTATTGTTCTTGATATCACATAGTTAATCTATTTTTCAGTCAATGATGGCGTATATTATCACAAGGGTGCCCAGAAGGGAACTGCATTGCGTTAGTTCCACCATCAAAGTTTTTGAGGACGGTACCTTTTGTTTGTTTTGTGGATTTTTTAGGGGGGGAACACATTTGATGGATTTTCGGAATGAACAAAATCTTTGTAGTTTTAATTTGGAGGAGCTTTCAAATCAGAAATCAGGAGGGGAGAATTATGGAACATACTACAGCAAATGCCATTGTTTATGACTTACAATTTTTCTCATTGTACTTCTACTTGCAATGTTGTTAAGAAGAAGTGAGTAATAGCATTTGATGGGAGGGAAAATCAGGGCATACACCATTGTTCTTAGTGGTAATGGGCATCACTATATTGCCACTTAATTGATTCCGTTTTGATTTAGACTTGTCTACTTTATAAAAATACTGTATAGACTGTTTTATTTTATTCTTTAGTAGAATTTTTGAAGTTCATAATTTTACTAGTGATAAAAACAATCTTGTATTTCCCTTACAACTAGTTATAAAATAAGAAGAAAGTTAATCTTACGTATTTTAAATAGAAGTTAAAATTAGGGATTTCGTTATTTTATTCTTAATAAGAACAATCTTTAAATGTCCATGGTCACTTTAATATTATTAATAGGTCATGTTTTGATATTTTAGGCTAGTAAAATACAGTTAATAAGAACCTGTTGCAGTTAATAATTGTGGTGTGGTTTAGAAGTTGGTGTTGCCAAACTTTCTAATTAAAAATTCTTCTGATGTATCTTATACATTTTATCTCTAATGATACTGTATGTATAGGCTTGAAATTTATTAACTATACTAACTCATTGGGTAATACTATTAACAATATTTGCACTGGTATCTGATTCTTATATGGAATTCTTATATTTCAAAGTACTAGTGTCAATCCAACGTGATGAATGAACTCATGGTCATCATGTATATGCAATTCTGAAAATGGTCTAGTATTCTTTTTCTGTTGAGACAGTGGCCATGTGTTGTAATTAGATTTCAACTTTTAACTTTCAAGTGCTCGAAATGGATAAATTAATCCACAAGGGTTCCTTTTCAGTTGAGCAATACCAACATTGGTTGCCTTCATCTACTTTCGAGCACACTCAGCCATTTTCGGAATTGCATTTACATTGATATGTTGTGCTGATCCATCAATTTGTAAGACCCTAATGAAGTAGTGCCTATTTTAAATTTTTCGATCCTGCTGTCTATGGTACATTATCTATCAAAGATTATAATTATATTACAATATTGGGTTGTAACATAAGTTCATAATAATCAACCTCTAAAATTTGATGCTTGTTTGTTGATCATATGAGATGTATCAGTGTTTATATGAATCAACAGATACTTCATTTTGTTTATTGGTAGCATGTTTTAAATCTTTTTCTATAAAATTTTTGTAAGGTGTTTATGTAGCAAATATTGTGAAAAATATTGATTTTAATGAGAAAAAAAGAAGAGAATTTGTAGGATGTTTTTACTCATTATTGAAAAATCTTTCTGGTGTACTTGTTCCTTTCCCTACTCTAACATGGTGACGGTTTCAAGACCCTTTATGGACTACACCTAGATTCCTGGAAATACTCAAATTTTTCTGAAAGAATATGGAGAAGACTCATCCTAACTTTAGATAGTGAATTACCTACCATATTAAGAGGGAACCTTTGATTCAATTATAATAGTCGATAATAATAGTTAATGTAATGAGTTACATATAATTTGTAGGATTGTGATCTGATAATCGTCCTCTCCAAGATGATCATAACAATAATTATGACATGAATTTTCACAGCAGTCAAAATTGTCTGTATCATATTATTTTAGTAAATGGATTTTTTCTATACATATTTTCTCCATTTCTATCAGCGGAACGTGGGAATTTCAATTTTATTTTAAATACGTATTTTAGCGTTTTTTGTTTGTTTTTTGGAGTCAGACAAGCTATATTAACTTATTTGTTAGCAGAAGATATTTTCCTTATTATTTATTATATAATTTTACATTTTAGAAAGGCCAGAATATAACCTGACCTATACAACACAAAAATGATTTGTGAAGTTTTATTTTATAGTTATAACAGAAAGTCTTTTTCTGCAAATTATTGTGATGTGAAATAAATAGATTAATTGTGATAATCCCAATTACAGAAAATGGGTTGATCCAGATCAACAATCATTATTAACTAAAAGGCTGAATTGTTTTGGAGAGAAGACTCTATGTTTAATTGGCTAATATGGTATATAAATCAATAGAAGAAATGTGTGGTAAGCTATGGAAACTAGTATTTTTGATTTTTCTTTCAAAATTATTGTTTTATTTGAATAAAACTCTGCGTCATCAGCTGATGCACTTGGTTTTGAAGAATAATATGTACTGCGAATCCAGCCACAAAAATTTGTTGTGTCTGTGAAACTCAAGTATCTTAACTATAATGTTGTCATCAACACTTAACGTCAGAACGGATGATTTTTTTTTTTTAGAAAATATTCAGCATTCTGTCTTTGCTCTCATTACTATGACTCGTTCAAAATTGATGGAAAATGGTTCGATACTACAACATGAGAGTTATTAATTAATTACTGTCATATGAAGTTATTTTCCAACTTCTCCCCTTAAAAGTATTGTGGACTTATCTTATAACTCAATATCAATCAGTAATGTTTATTTTTAATTATTTATGTGATAATAAAAATTGCTTTGGGGTCTGTGAAAATAAAGAAGGTTATTTTTATCGCCGTAATTTCAGTTTTTAACTTGGATGAAAGAGTTGTATAAAATAAAGCAGTCTGGTTGTAATTGTTTGATCTTTGTCAACAGGCCTTTCCAGAAAGAAGCTGAAGCTTCATCTTCCGTCACATCGCTGCATTGCAAGCTAGAGCTCCAATCTTGGCGCGTGCATTCTTTTCTTTCTCTAGGCTTTAATGTTTTATTTCTAAACTGCAGTGCAAAAGTATTACATCACTTACTTTTTCTGATTAAAAATCATTCCTTTGATATTTGTTTAGACTTTGTCATTTATAATAGGCCATCTTGTAGTGTATGTGGAATAAATTAATCTCAGTAGAATCACTCCTCAATAGGACCTCCTAAACTTCTCACTTCCTTTAGAAACTGACTCACAAAATTAAGAAAAGAACAATTTACTTGTCTAACTAGAGCTGACTTACACTTACTATGATCTACTTTTCATTTCCAACGAAGTTGTGGGTATTACAGTCTGGAACCCTATTTTCTTTTGTGAAAAGAGTATCTGTGTGTCATTCTCAGAAGATTCAGGTTGTATATTTCTTTCTTTTTTTCTCTCCTTGTCAAAACTTTAAAGTATATTCGATTTTTAGACTAATTTTTTGGGGAGCAGGAGGCATATTATTTTTTATAAGGAAAAAAAAAAAAAGTAATTTCAAACTAATATTAATTGACCTGCATATTACAAGTTACACTCGGAAACATGCTACATGCTGTCTTCCAGAAGTTTTTGAAAATATTCTATTTTGGTACAATCACAATACAATTCTGCCTTTCCATTGAAATAAAAATTACATTGTTCAAAGAAATTGAAATTCACATTGCAATAAAGAACTTATTATAATATAATTTTATGATGATAGTAAATTATTTTAGGAATATTTATTATTATATTTATAACTAATTTATTGACAGTCTTTCTTTCCAATGTTATCTATTGTACATAGATTTTATAAGTTGGACTATGTCTTGAATTCTGAGTTTTACCTCATCTTCAAGAAATTTAACTTTGTCAGAAATTCATCATCCTCCCTGTCATTTTACTGTTAAATTTTTAAATTCTTCAAAATTAAAAAGAAAAAAAAGTTAAAATGTAATTCATAAATGACAATGAGGGTGATGAATTGCTGGAAATGTTAAATATCCAGAAGTAAAACTCAAAACATTGATCCAACTTGTGTAAAATGGAAAATAAATAATATTGGAAAGAAAGACTGTCCACAAATTAATTATAAAATCCTTTTATATTGTTTATGGAATAGGACTAAGCTGTTCCTTTTTAACTTTTACCACAAGAACTGGGTGATTTATCAATGTATATGAAGCACAACTACACTAAAATAAAACAAATCTTGATGTA